AACAAGATGGGGAGCAATGATAGGAAATGTGGTCCTGTTCTGGAGAACAGTGAAAGCTGATTGTCGTTAGAGCAGGCTATTGCAGATTTGCAGATCTGCGACCAGAAGAGATTATGTGTGTCCTGTGTTGTTAAAATAAACTATATTCTTCGTGTATCTGATTTTGCATTTGATTGTTTTAAGAATGTTTGTTGTTAAAATGAGCCCCTGCTTACAGTAAAATCTGTATGTCTTTTCTGGCAGATGTATTGAATGATTGTGCCACCAAAGACGGAGAGGTAGCTTCTTGCATTCAGAAAGTTTGTGTCACTTTTGGCGCTCTTCAAAGTGAGTGCAAAGTCAGTTTGGTGATCTAGCTTCTCTACCAAACTAAGAACTATTGTGCCTGTCCATTGCTGAAAAGTGCTGTAGTTTGGACGTTTTCTAGAAGATATGAAGGAAGGATTTTCCCTCTCTGCCCCACGTCCTTTTTAATGTTGGAGAAATTCCAATTATTTGATAAAACTTGGTTGAGGTGATCTTAGCCAAGTCTTAAAACACTTGGACGCTTGATATTTAAACGTTTTTAAAAAGTCTTACCTGTCCGTATAGCAAGGACCTACATGTGCAAAGCTGACCAAATTTGTCTCAGAGAATGCAAGGCTTTTCTGTGCACAGCAAGGAGAACATTGTAACATCAATCACATAAATCACTTAAAAGTTATGATTTGTGAAATTGTATGGAAATAATAGCAACTTACTCTTAAAATGCCACATAGAAAGAAGTCCATGGGACTCCACGTATTTGGATGAAACTTTTGTATGTAAAAAGTATCCTTTCAGTTAAAGGAGCTGATCTTTTTTCAGTAAAAACAAAGCATATTTTGTCTCTTTTAAGTATTTCCTAGCAAGAGTTACTTAACATAAAATCTTTTTTTCCAGTGGAATGAGAAGGGTTTCTTTGTCATTGCAGGAGATGAATACATAATCTTTATATCATCTTGAGAAAGATCAATTTTTTTGCATGCTTTATTTCCCAATTTTTTTGAACTTACCTGTTCATCCAATGCTAGGCTTATTTGTTCCTGATATACATCATATTGTTGTATTTAGAGCTTTCCATTTTCTTAATTTTGCCTGATTTGCTTCTAATTTTTGGCATTATCCC